CATATGAGTAATATTTGACGCACGGCTCTATTATTCGGTGTTCTTGTTGATGGATCAAACGCATTCATACTGTAAATAATACCGAATGGGACAGTAAGAACGAGATGAACAATTACTTGAATAAGCAACATTCGAGTTAATTGTCTTTCGGTTCGACGACCATGTGCAACATGTAATGGAGGTCCTATACGAGCGATGTGCTGTTGAGTATTAGATATAGTCAACAGGCCGAATATGATCATTAATAGAGGTGCTGATATATAATAAAGAAGAATTTGACTGAATACATAAACACTGATAAGTAGATTTGAGTATTGCAAGCATGTATCCGATGATTGTTTCAAGTAGTACATAACCAACATTGGTGACATATAGATTGTAGATAATATTGTACCAATAACAATAAATAATCTTGCTCTTCTTATTGTATTTGTTGATTGAAGTAGATGTAATTGGCAACTTAAACAATAACGATCAAATGATGCCAATGCAAGCATTATTCTCGCTAAAAATGGTGTTAAGAATAGAAAATACGTATACATTTTACATCCTATTGGAGTATTTGTCCAATCGATGGAAAAACTACGTGCAAAACTTATTGAACATACCAAAGAAGTATACATAATACAAAAGACGGCATAAGCGTTAAAGTAGTGTGTACATGATGATGAACGAAGAGCACGACAGCTTAATACACATATATTAAGTGTATTCGCCAAAACTGAAAGACAGAATTGCACAGGTTGAAGATAAACATTCATTTGAAGTACTTTCTCAAGTAATTGACTCATATCGAATTGAAATTTCTTCAAAATAAATATACTTGATAATGTTTAATACCTTCGTTTGCCTTGTTTGAGATCAGTTTACACCAATAAAATGAATGACTGAAGTTTTAGTGTATGGATTATGCTTGAAGAAAAATGCGTCTTACTCGTTTCAAACGAATGATATATTAATAAAAGCATTCTCTTCATGGATTACACCATATATGATGCTTAAATTACTCGTTGTGATAGTCTTGAATATAATACAGATTATTATCGGTATGAAAGAAGTGAAAATTGTCTCTGTATAATTGCATAAAGCTAAGAGAGATAATTAAAAGATAGAAAAGATGAACATTTGATTTTTCGATGATGAAAAGATCACAGAAATAATATGATGTGAATTTTTTTTTTATGATGCTAAGATCACAGTATTATTATCATTGCGAAGTAAAATCATAGAATATACACTTGGCTTATCAAAGAAACCTATGACTGTAAAATTATATGGAAGAAACGATGATAATAAAAGAATCTAAGTTGTTTTTTTTCTTTCTTTTGAATCTTTTCTATGCACACTTATTCTCTTTCAAATAAAGAAATGTAATCAAAAATATTGTGAAATAAACCTTATAAAAGAACGATCTACTCAGCAAAAATTGTGTGACCGACTAAAATTCATAATTTCTTTGGTTTTTGACAAAAACATCTCATAAAAAAAAACTCCTTTTTTGTCAAGTCATAAATCTTGATAGGTATGACTTGCACGCATCTTAGTCACATTTGATTATTTTGACTAAGTAAAAGGAACCTTCCATGTTGTTTTCTGTTGTTATAATGTATAAAATTGCTTTTGTTTTTTCTGACATTTACAATGGATTTCAGCTTTTAAGTAAGATGTTAGAAAACAATTGTTCCGAGAAAACATGTAGAAAGAATGAACCAAAATTATCACGCGGTTGTCACAATGTCAAAGTCAAATATACACAAATCAAAGTTGATGTTTGTGTAAAAAAAAAAGATTAACGAATTGATAGCATCGTTAACATTATAAAGAAATGCAAAAATGAGATGAGAAATAATTTAAAGAAGCAAGATTGAAGTCAATTGCTTTTCTGTACGATGGAAGCTTCATGGTGTAGCCAAGTCAACTAAAGCAGTTCTATGTCGGCGGATGGTTGATACAGTCAGTAAACCAACCATCAATAACCGTATACATGTAATAATATAATAAAAAATAATTTCGCAAAGGTGTAGATAGTGATCAAAGTGTAACATTTTGAAAAACAAATATTAGTCAAAATATCCCATTTGTAAATAACTAACGTAGATGTAGAGATGTACGCCGATTAGTTGAACTGCTACGAAAGTCTTAGCAGATGAGCAGCGCCCCATCAGGTCATAAAAAAAGAATAAAATGTTTTTGACAGCTTCCGACATGCGGAGTCCATTGTCAGGTATGTTTTTGTCTAGTTTCTTGTTATCACGATCTTTACATTAATTTTCTGCCTTTTTCATGTCAAAATTTCATGAAAATAAGAAAACTCCTAAGAAAAGCATAGAAAACTATCAGTTGCTAAGGCAGAATTGTTCGATATTTCCGACCGCGGTCATTGAAATAGAAAAAACAACTCAACATTTCCAGTGATCGATGATAAATGCATCGGCTAACATTTCTATAATACTTTAGGACGATAATAATTACTTTTGAGTTTTGAGTTACACTTGTCGAATGAAGTTGCGAATGCCATAAACTAGTGTAATCGATGCTGAACATAGAATAGACTAAGAAGTAATGAGTATATGGTGATGAACGAAAAGTACAAACATCTATTCACATATGTTAAATATATTAGTAATAATTGAAAGATAGACTAGCATCGGTTGTAAACAAAAGCTCGCATGAAATACGTTTTCAAGTAGTTGAATTATATTTAGAAAAAAAGTTCTAGAAAGTAGTTAAATAACTACTTTACGCAGAAGTGTTTTTTACTTTATTGTCAAATTTTCTCCAATAATACGATATAGACAAGTGATAGTTTTCATAGCCAAAATAATTATTATTTTCAAAAATGAATTAGACATTGATCTGTTTAGAAAAGGTTTTCTAGAATTTCGAATAATATGAGGCAAGAATTGTTTTCATATCGTTGTTGATACTACCCCAAGCGTTAGACTTAGAAATGACTTAAGCAAAAATACAATTATTTTTGTTTGGATTATATAAATATGGAATAATTCATAGTCGTTTCTTTGAAAATAATCTTTTATATATTCATATTATATTATTGATGAAAAGTTTCGGAATTATCTTGGATCTTGAAGCGAAAAGCAAAAGTTAGTTGGGTATTAACAAAGAAATACTTGACGCTACGTCTTCAATATAAAGTAATATCAGAACTATTGATCAATATATTTATTGCCATAATAAAATCATATTTTAAAAAATTATCAAAACACATCGAAAATGTGAAGAGATACGGTGTTCTTTGACTAGTTATTTCTCTTTTTAATGAAATTTTGTGAAAAAAGTAATCTTTTCAATAAAATAATTACTTTGCATACACTAATAATATCAATTCAATATTTATCAACAATAATGTACTACAAATAATGAACTAATCAGATAACAGTGGCAATTTCAATCAAATAGAAAATATTTATCTAGTCATAAAAAATAACATCGAAAGTTCAATATCAATAAAAGACATACATCACAGAACTCGAACAATTTTTAACGGAAAAATTCAGATATATATGTTCATGTCAAAGTTATGATAAATTGTTCATTGTCTATTAAAAGTGATATTTTTCTGTTATATCTGCAAAGTTAATCAATAAAAATTTAAATACTAGTGTGATATAGCACTCATTGTTGTCTAGCATTGAAGAGATCAATCGATTCGAATACACACATGTAGAAAGAAATACTCACAAAATGTAGTGTGTAACTTGTTCTCAAAACAGCTATATTCATAAGTTTTCAGACATGTAATACTAACATTTTCATCATACTTCACATTATTGTCATGATGATTAATAACAAAAATATATGTAATTCATAGATATTTTGACAAGCAGGAGAATAGCAATCAATACGTCGCAATAGAAAGGTGGTCAGAAGATAGCCGACAATTTAATTATCAAACTGTCGTCGATTGATTGCCAATATTCCATCGACTACCTGTCAGCATAGTACGCATGATATCGGACTGTCAACCAGCGGTTTTTGTCCGGTTCGAGTCACATCAATATCAAAGAAATGACTTTAACGTGCTTCTAAATTTATTCTCATGAACATTGAGAAGGCATACTGATAATGACACAGTCGTAAATAGTAAAGCAATACCAACAAGCTTTCTGAGAAATAAATATTATATTTAAACAGATTCCAGAGTAATTGTTATTCAAAATCTAACATTTATGATTACTCTTTCAAGTAGATAGAATAACTATTGGTGATATCGTTCGACTTCATATTATGACTACAAGTAGATTTCGATGAGACTAAGACAAGCTTAAAAGAATTGGAGTTCATGGTCTACTGATAAAGCGTTATGGCTGTTTAAAAGACAATGTTGACTGACTTGAGAGCAAGGCATTTTCAAAAAAATTCAAAACAAAGAATTTCGACCTCAAATTTTGACTTTAGGCATATTTCATAATCATTAGATAGGTTTTATAGATTCAATGAAAATAAAATAAACATGTACTACTCAAGATAATCGATTCCCAATTAGAGTCGAGTATTTTGTCGTTCTATCGTTAACCACTGCTGCTTTGAATATATCCAGAAAGATATGTTTATTTTTGTTGAAACTTTCAGAACTATCTAATGACGATGAAGTGTATCTATAGGTAAAATTTCAGATCGAAATTCTTTGCTCTCAATAAGGAGTTTCATTTAAACTGTTATAATTCTTCATCAGTTGACCATATGGTCCATATCTTTTACAGTTTGTCTTAGTCTTAATAATATCTACTTGTAGCTATAGTATGCAATTGAACGACATCCAACAGTTCCATATGTTTCCTCGTAAGTGTCAAATGAATTGTTATATGCCATGATCCAAGGTTATAAAACAATATTTTTCTGTCATAGTGAATTGAAATATATTGATTCAGTTTTGTATGTCAAATGAATTATAAAATCTCATCATTGAAGGTTTTATTGTGATCATGTTCCTTGTTTTCTGTTTTCTACAATGAATCGAAGTGATCAAATTATGCATTTCCAGTCAATGAGTCATAAAGGTTTGGCAATTAATGTATTGGTCAATTTAGACGTTTGATAAATTTTAATATATAAACAAGTTGTTTTCGATAAGCGCTTCCAGAAAGAACATAAAGAAAAAATGGAACGAAATTATCACATTGCTGCCATATGACTAATATATAACGCACGGCTATAATATTAGATGTTCTTGTTGATGGATCAAACGCATTCATACTGTAAACAACACCGAATGAGACAGTAAGAATGAGATGAACACTCATTTGCAGAAGTAACATTCGAGTTAATTGTCTTTCAGTTCGACGAACACGTGCAACATGTGATTGAGATCCTATACGAGTGATATGCTGTCGAGTGTTAGATATAGTTAACAGACCGAATATAATCATTAATAGAGGTGCTGATATATAATAAAGAAGAATTTGATTGAAAACATAAATACTGATAAGTAGATTTGAGTATTGCAGACATGTACTAGATGTTTGTTTCCAGTAGTAGATAGCCAGTATTGGTGACATATAGATAATGCATAATATTGTACCAATAGCAATAAACAATCTTGCTCTTCGTATCGTACTTGTTGAGCAAAGTCGACGTGGATGAGAACTTGAACAATAAGGATTAAATGAAGCTAATACAAGCATTATTCGTGCTAAAAGTGATGGTAAGAATATAAAATACAAGTTTATTTTACATCCTATTGGAGTATTTGCTAAATCAAGGTGAAAACCACGTAAAAATTGTAATGGACATATCAAAGTATATATAATAGTGAAGATAGCATACGCAATAAAGTAGTGTGTACATGGTAGTGAACGAAGAGGAGAAGAACAGAATACACATATATTCAGTATATTCGTAATAATGGCAAGAAAAAATTGCACTGGCTGTAAATAGACATTTACTTGAAGTCATTTCTCAAGTAATTGACTCATATCGATTTGAAATTTCTTGAAAATAAGTATATTTGTCAATCTGTAATACCTTCTATTTTTGTCTCGTTTGAAATATGTTTATATGAATAAAAAAAATGAATACAATTCTAGTTCATAGATTATTTTTGGAGAAATATCGATCACACTCATTTCAAATTAATGACATATTCATTGAAACGTTTTTGATAAGCATCGTAGCACATATGGTGCTTGAATACTTCCGTGTGATAGTGATGAAAATTACTAAATGTGATTATCTATATAAAAGAAGTATAAATAGCTTTCGCATAACTGCACAGAACTAATAGGAATGATTCAAATAAAAAAAAGAGGTTTTTTGCTTGTGATAAGGAAGCCATCTTAAACATTATTATCATTATCAAATAACATCATAAAATATATTCTTGATTTTATGAAAGAAATTGATGACTTTATAAATTACATTGAAAACAGCAAAGTTAATTTAAAAGATTGACAGAAAAAAAACAATAGAGAAGAGAAGAAAGAACAATATCATAAATGTAAATTCAATTTTTTTTCTTTTTCATATACCTTTGGATAAATGAGGTACGGTCGGTTCTAGCCTGAAAACTCCAGAATCCTGATAGAAATTTGGAAGCAAGAATCAGATGATTGAATTCAAGAATTGGTCTTTTCCAGTTGAAACAGGCTTTTTTCCTACGGGTGGCTACCGTTAATTCACGGATCCGAACGCTGGAATCATTGTCCTGGACAGCTAACTTGTGTTAATAAATATAGTTCATAATTTATTGGTTTTTGATAAAAATATCTCATAAAAAACTTTTTCATTTCTCTTAATTATTTGAACAATGAAATATAGAAATAATACAATAAATTATTGTTTTGTAATCCTATTCGTACAGTTAATGAGAAGAAAAAAAATATATTGGATAATACGATGTTTATTATTATTCTCTAACCATATACCTTGGCATGTACGACATGAGTCTTAGTCGCACTTAGAATTCTATTTATTCTAAGAGAAACCTTGTAAATTGTAATTAGTTTAGAAAGTTGGAAGAAAAAGTGAAGCAAAATAGCCGCGGCATGTGAGTTTACAGTGTAGTTGACATTGAAATAGTGTTTTGTTATTTCTTTAACAAAAAAAAATCGTGAATGTTTAAAAACAAAAAAGTAGCTTGTTTTTTGTTAATATGATTTAATTGTATTTTGATGCTTTGAATTGTTATTTCACATACAAATAATAATAAGTTGACCATATTTATCTTGCTCAATAGAATAAATATTTTGTTGTTGTTACGCATTTTTTTGTATCGGTGATGTGTAAACTTTTAATGATGTTGTTTAAACTATTTATTCAAGAGAGCAGGGAGTTAATGTCAGCGAGTTTAAAAGAAAATAGTGCATTGGACCACCTGTGTCTCTCTTATAATAATGATATTAGAGCCTAATGAATGGTTGTAAGCACTAATGAAATTAAAATTAAAATTTCTTGTCTGAATACAATACATTTCAACGAAATTTTCTCTCTTTGTATCTCTTACTTTAGACTTTTGTAGTTTGCTTGTTTTTCGATAATGGGTAACTTATATACCAAGAAAGTATAGACTTCGCTGCATCGCACAATATATTCATCATAAATAACAAAGAGAAATCAAACAATAAAAAATACATTAGAAAAAAAGATTTTTTTTTTCACTACAGTCTGCAATGAGAGTAAATAGAATTTTTATTTTTCCGTCATTTTTGTACATATTGATGGACATGAGTTCATTATCATAAATCTGTCTATGTGACTAATAAAACACAATACTAACATATTATTAATGGAAATCCTGAACAAAAAATTCAGCTTCAAATTGGTACATATTTTGTTATGTGATTGATTGAGGTTGAAACAGATATTAAATTTGTTCTCTGTTATGTATTTATCTTCTCTACTTGTATTGTTTGTTATTTCATTTCTATTTGTTATTTATGATTAATATATCATGTGATGCAGTGAAATTTGTACTTTCTCACTATGTACCCATTGTTGAAAGAAAAACCAAACTATAATTGTCTAAAGTAAGAAATACAATCGGAGAAATTCAATTGAGATTCACTGTAACAATCGATGGTACCCAAGCAAATGAGGTATGGCTGATTACAACCTAAAAACTCCAAAAGAATGGTGGGAACATGGAAGCGTAAGAATCCAAGCGTTGGAATCATTGGCCTGGGTATATGACACATAATCGTTCTTGTTAAGTTTTAGATCGAATCTTTTGATAACAAATCAAGTAACTTTTATTTATATTATTTTTGTTGTTCTTACTAATATTATCATAATGGAAACAAAACAGACAATAAATCTTATTATATAAAAACGCGATCAGAATCGATTGAAACTAAAGACAATAGATAAAGCATAATGAAATGACTGAAGAAAAAAGAACACACGCAAGCTCTCATTCTATTTGACAACAAATCAAATAGAGAAGATAGAAAAATTGAAATTCATACACTACAAGAATCGTTTGTTTTTTCTTCTGTTAGCCAAAAAAAAAGTCCAGAAAAAACATTAAGATGTTTTCAAATTTATTATGTTTAATGTGACTTTAATTTGTGAAATCTTGTCTGAATCAATTAATTCATCTTGATTCTAAACCTTTATTCCTATTATAATTTTCTTTCTAAGAGAAATTTTTATAATTAATTTAGACGTTCCAAATGCAACTGAATTCTCATGTCAATTGTGATATAACCACATTGTTGTTTTAAAGCAAAAATCAAATGCACATCGATCGGAGTTGGCATTTATGTACAAAGGTTCAACAAATTAATAGCATTTGTGACATCGTAGAAAAATGCAAGAATAAGATGTTGTGTACGGTGACTGATTATTGATGCAACCAAATCAACTAAAGCAGTCCTATATGGACGAACATTCGATACAGGCAGTAAATCAAATATCAATAATTGTAGACGTGTCATAGTATGATACAATACAATGTAGCAAAATATATAGATACTGATCAACAAGTGCGATTTTGACAAAAAAAGTATTAGTCAACGTATTCCATTTGTAAATAGCTAACATAAGTGTACAGATGTACGTTGATTGACTGAACCATCATTGGGACATAAAAAATAGATAAATGGTTTTTGGAAATTTTCCATAAACAGGATCAGTTTTTAGGAATTTTCTTGTCTAGTCTTTAATCGTCACATTCTCTACATTAATTTTCTTCTTTTTTTCAGTTCAAAATTTCACGAAACAAGCAAAAATTTTAAATATAGCATCGATAACTTGCAGCTGTCGACGCAGAAACTTCAGAGACCTCTAGTCACCGATGATTAATACACCGGCTAATATCTCGACATAGGCTATATATATATACAGTAGCGACAGAAATAATCATTTTAGCGTTTCAAATAGTACTTCTCAAATGAAGTCAACATGAACATAACATCGGCTTGCTCGTCAACTAATCTTGTAACAGTTGTACTGCAAACTAATACTATGTTGTGAAATACATAAGTATACATGTTTATCTATGGATAAAACTTAATAATAATAACTATCACATAAGTCGTTTCTCATATGTTCAGACACAGATGATTTATTTCGCTTGCTAACAAAATCATAGTTGAAACCACATTAAATCTTTTGTATACTATCTTATTAATGTTATGTATGATAAGAATTATTAAATTTCAATAAATAAAGTAATTGTTCACGATAAACTCTTCCAGAAAGAAAATAAAGAAAAAACGATATAAAATAATCAAGTTGTTGCCACATTAATAATATATACCGTACAGCTAATACATCTGGTGTGCGTGTTGATGGTTTTAATGAATTCATACAATAGATTATACCAAATGGAAGAGTAAGAATAAGATGAACACCTACTTGAAGAAGTAACATTTGAGTTAATTGTCTCTCAGAACGACGTCGTCGCATACATACACTTAAATATACTAAGCGCGTTGATTGTCGACGAATATTAGATATCGTTAAAAATCCAAATATAATCATTAATAGAGGTGCTAAAACATAATATAAAACGATTTGACTGAATATATAGATATATATCGCTATATTAGAGTTTAAATGACATGATCTAGTAGTTTCATTCCAAGCGTAAATAACTAACATTGGTGACATATAGATAGCTG